CAAGCTCAATAAATATTGTTGAATATAATTGTTATAAGGCCATAAAATAACAAAAACAAATGAATAATTATAATATCTAAAACAAGCACTGGACTCGTTCGTGAAAATACCAAAAAACAAAGGACCTAATATGCTCCCTTGCGGAACTCCTGATGTTGCAATATAGGGGTAAGAGCTAACACCATCAACAACAACTTTATTTATTCTATTTGAGAGATAGGACTTGATCCAAGACAAAAAACTTGAGTGAAAACCAAAAAGGTTTAGCTTCTTAAGAAGTAGATTGGGGGATACACGATCAAAAGCTTTTGAAATGTCAGTGTAGATGACATCAACTTGGCAACCAGCTACAAACGAGAAAGGCAATAATTTGAAAAAAAAAAAACAGTTAAATTACTGACGGTTGAGCGCCCAGGTACAAACCCATGTTGTCAAGGGGATATTAATTGTTTTATAGCCTAATAATCTTTTCGAATAATTTAGCAATATTAGGATGCTTAGAGATGGTTGGATATGTCCCTTTTGTTACCTGCTTTAAAAACGGGGGACACAAACGATTTTCCATTCATTCAAAAAAAGACCTAACTTTAATGATAAATTGAATTGAAGTAGCAGTTGTTCGGCAATCGACGAAATGCATTGCTTGAGAAAAAAAAGACGATATTTGATGCAAGTACGCTTTTTTGGAATTCGTTAAGCTTCGTATTCCATAAAAAATATCATCTTCCGATAAGAGCAGAGATCCAAAATCTAAAGAAGTAGAAGTGATATTGCAGGTGGGCTCACTACTCAAAGGACACTCATTAACAAAGTTCGATTTGAAAAAATCTGTGAACATATTCGCTGTATCATTAATTGACGATGACTGCTTCCCTTCGTACTGCATGGCAGTTGGAAAAACCGAAAAGGTTCAAAGCGTACGTTGATAAATGGCCAAAAAGCTTTGGGATTAGATTTGATGTTATTTTCAAACCCCATTAGGTATTTATTATATAAAAACTTATTTAAACAGTTGAAATCCACCATATATTTCTCATACAATGCTTTATGCTGAATACTACCATAATTCTCAAATAGTCTATAAAATTTATTCTGTAAGTTCTTTAATTTTTTTAATCTCTTATTATACCATGGTAATTTGTGAACACGGTCTGGGAAAAGTTGGGTTGTTTTCTCTGATAATTTGAAAAAGTTGAGATCTGAATTTATCAAAACAGTCAGGGAGACTACACCCCATGAATAACCTTTCCCAATTCACGCCAGAAATGAGGTTATTTAAATGTTCAAAGTCGCAACGTGAGTAATTAAAATTAGAGTTCAAGGCAGTTTCTTGTGGGCAGGCCTCATAAAACTCGATCTCCAGTATGAGTGGGATATGATGCTTGTCAGTTAGAGATATTGAATAGTCTGACTTAGATAGCTTAGATTTAAGTAGATTTAAGTTAAATCTTCAATAATATTGAACAATAAATGCAATTTGTTGGGTGTGGCAATCACAAATTCACATGCCATAAGTCAAAAGATATTTTTATTTTCAGTAT